TTGGCCCTTTTTAGTCTAAAAGATAGAAACAGCTACTTCTAAAAGGGTCAGGAGACACAGTTTTGGCTCAGAATTTAGACTGAAAAATGCTTTCTAAACCCCAGCCTAGTAACATTGACAAATTGGAAATATAAAATAATTGAACATCATGGCAAGCTTAATACCAACACAGTGGCATTGGGCACTGCAGTAAGACAAGAAAGTTGGTACAAGCTACAAGAGACATTGGATCATGTCTCAAACTTGAATCAGAAGAAATTACAGAGCAAAGAGAGTCAATTTGTGCCTGGGGAGCTGCAGCATCCCCTCAACAATGAGGTGTGGGCAACTCAGCAAGGGCACTGCCCAGTGCTGGGACTCTGAACCCCACATATTTCATTGATGATGTCCAGAAGCTCTGCTCACTCCTACAAAAAGTCTGGACACAAACATATTCCTGCAAAGACACCACTTGGAATTACTCCGTGAGTTCTGTGGTTAAGCTCCTGATATTCAAAAATATCCTGACATCAAGTTATTCCACATCTTGAATGCCCAACACTATAAACAGTAATAAAATGCACAAAATCATTTTAGTTGTAGAGAAACAAGGTACCAATGAAGCACTTGTCTATGGCGAGCGGGTTAATTGTCTCCTCTCAAAAACGACTGGTTAAGCCAACTTTCTTTGGAGAAGAAAACCAAAACATTCAGAAACTTCTCCTGCCTAAAAATAAGTGTTAAAAGCAACACACAGAGCAGACACACAGACCTATGAGCTGCACACAGACCACCAATAAATATACAGAAACACCACAACAAAAGACAAGGCTCATCATAAAAGAAAAATCCCATAACTGCTACTCAGACTGATACCAAAGGAAAGGGAAGTGTTTTTTGCAGGCATGTGCAAGCACATTACAGTGTCAAAGCACAACTTTGCTATTATTATTACTTTATGCAGCATTACAAGGTTACTGAGGTGCAGTGTTTAATAGTCTAGTCTACAGCTTTTCCTGACTGCAGGAACGCTCACCAAACTCACCATGGACCCACCCCCTCATGGCATCACCCAGCCACCAAGCTGCTCCCATCCAGAGCATCCAGCTCCCAGCTGGCAGTCAGAAACACCCACTGATCCACCCCAAACACACGTGAGCCATGTGAGGACCAACCATCCTCCTAAGACACCCTTCAGTTTGTGCTTCCCCTAAGAGAAGCCATCCTGTGGGAGCTATGGATTCCTTTCAGCACCAATCAGGTCCCCATGGCTTCTGCCACACCCCAACCCCCAGTCCCCTCAAAATGAAGAGGTAAATCACATTGACCAAACCCAACCTAACCCCAGCCTACCAGCTGAATTTGGTGATCGCTCCTCAATGCCTCTCCCTCCAAAGGAAAACACCTTCCTGGTTATTCTTGGTCCTGACTCAGAGAAGCTGGTGCTTGAAAGTACCTAAAAGATACCATCAAACACTTGGCATTTTCAATAATTTATCTTAAATTTGCAGCCACGTACAACTGGAAAATAAAAATCTACAGCACCATCTTCTAAAAAGGCACTTTCTGAGGACTGTCTTGCTTAAAAAAAATAAAAGTCACTCCAAGTTTTAAACAGTGGAACTGCTTTGTTTGAAAAGGACCCTACGGTAACAACCCGTGTCAGGTGAGGGGGTACCTCAGACAGGATGTGAAAGGCCAGGGCACGTGGGATGGAAAGTGGATGGAGTCTCCCCAACACCCTTATTCCTGCCAAACCAATGCTCTGATATTTTCCCTCACACGCCTCTCCCTTACAACTCCTTCCCCACCATATGCACCTTTGTCTACTCAGGGAACAACAATTTGGGTTTTAGTGTCACGGAGATCAGGATTTTTGAGATTCTGCTCGGGAGGTAAGATGTAGGATCCTGTATCCATCTTGCTCATACCTCAACTACAGAAAGTACAAAATCTTCTACCAGCAGAAAGCATCAACGAGCTCAAGCTCTAACCACGATATTTTACAAAAACAAGGAGTGAATTGGCTACGTGAAGTTTGATTTCAACATGTGCCAAACCAAAAATGATATTCCAAACATGCAGCATCAACCTAAAGTACCATCTTTGGGTAGAAAAGACAGACAGAAATCTTTCCCTTTGACACCCCTATGGAATTTTTCACCAGATCCAAACAACCTGCCAGTAGCAGCCATGAAACTCCACAGCACTGAAAGGGACAGAGCATCTGCCCGGCCTGACCAGAGACCACGATGGCCATTTAGAAACAACCACCTTTGAAAACTGAATTTACAGGTCCAACACACATCATCTGAACTTTTGATTCCTTGGTTATAAAAGTGCTTTGAGTAAGGTTCTAAACCCTCAATTCACAAAACAGGGAAAATACCAAAAGTGGACAAGATTTGAAGAAAGTGTAAGAAAAGGGAAGGAAAAAAAAGGCCTTAAGCTTGAGCTTGGAATTTCACCAGAGTGAACTTTAAGACTAGTAGAAAACCAGTATTTGTAGCTGGAATTTTTACAGCAGACTACGTGGTATCTCATGTTGAGCATTTTATAGGACAAGTATTTGTACATGAAGAAGTGAAAATCATTTAGGACCAAGAGCATCTTGAAATAATTTGACTGACAACTTCCAGAAACCCATTTTACTCCTGAAAACCATTTCTGTGGCCAAACTCCCAAAAGAAGACCGGAATGAATACTATAAAAATAACTTTTGGACACGTGTAACCAGATGACACATGGAACAGTGACACAGCGATCCTGAGTCAAATGGCCACAGCTCAAGTCCCTAGAAAGGGAAAAAGGCGACTTACAGCGGAGCCACTCCTCCTGTTGGCAAATGTCGCGAGTTTAACGCCTCAACCACAAACATCCTGGGATTCTCTCCAGCTCTGGATCTAGCAGTGGCCAGGTAGGAGGTTTGGGCAGGGCTGGCTGGGTGAGGAGGGGCTCGGTGATACCCTGGGCCTGCCCCCACCACGGGAGCACTTAGTGGCACTTGTTCAGTACAAGTGAGGTCTCAGTGTCTGAGGAGATGGGAACTGCTTTTCTCCACAGGCAGGAACCTGAGGCCAGTGTCTGCAAAGCAAGAAGAGCCATCAGCCTGTGCCCACATCCCTCTTTGGACTATCCACAGCCAGCTCTCGGCCAGAGAGGGGGATCTGCTGTGCCACTCAAGGTTTCCTCAAACAGCACATAAAATTTGAGTTTTTTTTTTTTTTTCTTTTTCAAGGAGAGCAGGTACAAAAATAAAAGAAATCCATATACTCTGAAAATATACTGGAAACTGCCACCACAGATGAGGTACCATTTATCCCGACCCCCCACCCCCAAACTGCAAACATCAAAATATATATGTTTTTAAACAAAAGAAGAATATCTGGCTATTTAATCTCAGTTAAAATGACAGCACCCTTTGTTACACTTGATATTTCACACCATTAATTCTCTTTTGAAAAAAAACCAAGATATCTAACTAACCTTGATTCCTTGCTTTTCTCCTCATTCCTTAGTGCAGTAATTGTCCATCTCCATTTAAATAAATATAGCAGCTACAGCATCATAAATGTGTGGCCCTCACAACGTCAGTAACTTGATATCATAATACAAAGAAGTATCGGCACTTGACGTAGATATTTGCAAAACCAAGAAGAGAGATTAAAACTTCCAAATACTCTTCACATGAAAACCAGGTACAATGTTACCTTGACAACTGAAGTCACTTTGTCAATGAAGTTTCTTTAGTTTTTGGTGAAAGTAGTGAGCAAAAAAGCTTCTCAAATCCGAGTCACCGAGCATGGGCAGGGTGAGAAGCAGCTTTGAAAGGAGAGCTAGAAGGCTTTGTAAAAAGGAATTTTCAGCTAAATGCCAGAAGTCCACAAGAACTCTTTGCAAAATAGGTTTTTTTTTTAAAAAAAAAGTTCTCTGTTTTCAAAAGAAATTTCTGTATAAAGCTTAAGCTGAACCTTTTACAAACAGCATTGCTACTGAGAGAGCTTTAGGAGAAAAGTGTCAGGTCACAGACTGGGAAAAACAACATCTGAGAGACTCACTGAGAAACCACCTCGCTCAAAGGACTCTGTCACACCCCCCTCCCTGCACCAGGTGTGTCCAAAGGCACCCACAGGGACAGGGCACTCCAAGCTGGGACCCCCTGGCTCTGGGGGTCCCCAAATCCTCAGGGCCTCCTGAGCCCCCCAGCCACCCCCACCGAGCACCCCCAGCCAATGCCCACCCCCACCACTGTTTCCAGTGCAATTTTAGCTTTGCCAAGTTAGTCTTTGACATTATTTTCCTTGTTTTTGAGAGATAAAATAGGTATCTACACCAGCTGTTAGTAAAGCTCTTGCAGACAGTGTTGTGAACAGCACTACGGACATTTCCATACAATATACAAACGCACAAAATACAGTACTTGGTTTTTCTGGCAGAAAAAAGGGGGTTCATGCCTGGTGAAGCAAAATGGGCTCAGATTTTAGGCTCAAAATACAGTATATTGGCAAACAGCAGATTTGGTGAGAATGAGGAGAGAAGCTACTTAGAGCAACCAGGTTTTCATGTGAGAGCAGGTGGAGGTCGGGAGGGCTGGGATCACAGCAATGCCCATACAAACAGCTGCAGTAAATATACTATGAACCAGTGCAAATAAAAACAGTCAAAAATGCAGTTCACGAGTTTACAAAGTGCAAAACTCCCCAGTCCCCTCGTTGAATAAATGCTCGTCTCTGACATCTTAAACATTGGTTTTAAAGTGGAATGAAAGAGTCCCATTGGTTTGTTTCACATTTCGGTGATTTAACATGTTAGAACTATCCCAGCCCTCTTTATTTGCAAAGTGAAATGAAGTTACCAATAACTTAATTTTAAAAGGAAAGTCACTATCAAAGAGGAAAAAAGCCTAAAAACTTTTATTAATTCCAGACATTTTACTGATGTCAAATAGGTTTAACTAAGCATGTAAAAACTGAGATCTTAATACAAAACCCTTTCCATTTAATTCAAATATGCTCCACATTTCAAAGCCAAAAATAAGGCCAATTCCTTTGTTAAATCAAAAGACTGCAGCAACAAGTAAAGCTTGCAGAAGTCTAGAAGCATTTTTTGTAATTTTTTTTTGATTTAAAAAAGGAAAATTCAAGATTCCTTCTGACTATAAAACTTTCCTTTCAAAATTAAGGCTTTTACTTTGTCCTTTTAAAATCCTGGAGGTGTCCATTCTCCCATGGTCCGTGGTACGGACACTGCTTCAGTACAGCTCAATGGACACAGTTTTTCTTTAGAATGCTTATTGCACTAAAAGGTAGCAAAACAAGTTGTCAGTTTCTTTTTTTAAAAATAAACATGATTACATTTCTAAAAAATAAAAGTTGATGTTGACCATATGTTCCGTAATAATTAAATTAAAGCATTATTATTACTCTAATAAATATAAAAGAAACAAAAGGAAGCTAAACTTCAAACACACATACATATGAATCACATTAAGGTGTGAGAGGCAGCAAGTAAAGTAGCAGGTTTCTTTTTTTTCCAAAAAGACCTTAGCTCTAAAGTTTCAGTTCTGGTGGTTACTGTATGTCATCCCAGAAAACCTGGGACATCAGATCTCACGTGAGGCTTCAACAGATTTGACTTGCCAGATAGGAAAAAATTGAAACTTTTGGACTAGGTAAAACAGCAGCTTTAGTAAATTCCCCCAGGGAGCAAGAAGAGTTGGGTCACTACTGCCTGCACATGAACCACGAGCTTCTTGGATTGCTTTTGAAAGGGAATTCTTGGAGCTGAGAACTCCAAAGCTGTGAGAAAAGACACAAAGGCAGCCATTGGCTAAATTAGGTTCAAATTACTGGATTAGTGTGCAAAACATCTTCCCCCCCTCACTGTTACCTAGCTAGTGCTGTACATTCCAATGCACTTGGATATGTTCACATTCAAACGCTCGATGGCAATACTGAGAGAAAGATTCCTCAGTGCATGGGGGTTAAAAACTTATTTTCTTTTTTGCACACTTCCCTTCTCCAAACAATCACTGTGATTGTTTCTAAAAGGTGGTTTGTTTTTTTGTTTTAAATTACACAATAGATTTTAGTTTATTATTACTATCTTTTTTTTTTTTTTTGCAACAATAGTTGTGCTGCCGAGCAACTTGAGGTAAAGGCAGAAGAGGGTTAAACTACGAGAAATAATAATTAAAAAAAAATGATGGTGGCGGCTTCCCACAGGAGCCCGCCCCAAAAAAGCAGTTGGCTGGTTTCATATTGCATAATAGTGCTGTGTTCCTGGATGAAGTAAACAATCTTCCTCGTGTCAATTTAAGGGTGAGCCTCTCGCCCCTGCACAGCGTCAGCTCCAGCACGATGGGAGGCACAGCCCCTAAACCAACCCCCTGGAAACATACATTGTATGTGGCTTAAGTTCTCAGTTCTCCTCTCCGTGAGTGTCTCCCGGGTCATTGATTAAGCGAAGTACATCGTGCGTAAGGTGTCTTGGTGAATCTGTACAGCCTTCGCCAGGGCCTGCGGGTCTCGCCCGTTGCTCTGTCCTGACACGTGGCTCCCTTCAGCACTGCAGGGAACGAGGGAGAGACAGGCAGGGCTGTAAATTGTATTAATTCGGATCAAAAAGCTGCTTTCACATCTCTTTGATAGAATCACTCAGGTTGGAAATGACCTCTAAGGTCGAGTCCAACCTGTGAGCGATCCCAACCTCATCACCCAGCCCAAACCACGGAGTGCTGTGTTCAGTTGTTCTTGAGTGCCTGCAAGGATGGGGACTCCACCACCACCCCAGGCAGCCCCTTCCAATGCCTGACCACCCTTTCCATGGAGAAATTCCTCCTGTATTCTGTTGTTCTTGAGCACTTGCAAGGACGGGGACTCCACCACCACCCCAGGCAGCCCCTTCCAATGCCTGACACCCTTTCAATGGAGAAATTCCTCCTGATGTCCAACCTGACTCTCCCCAGGCATAGCATGAGGCTGTTTCTCCTTGACTTATCCCTTGTTCCCTGGAAGCCAAACCAGCCCTGGTTGGACCCCCCTGTCAGGGAGTTGTAGAGACTGAGAAGATCCCACTTTTCTCCGGGTTGAGCCCCCAAAGGACTGACTCTCCAGGCCCTTCACCAACACAGCACCAGTGACAGAACTGGACACTGAGAAATATCAACTCTCATATTCACTCAGCAACCTTGAGGCTTTTGACAAATCTCTTCACCATGGCTGCTCAGCTTGTTCATCTAAAAATAAGCCTTTTATAAATAAATTGATGACTTGAAGGTTGTAAAATACTTCTGACGTACAGAGTTAGATAAGTGGAAGCACTTAACATTTGGTTCATTCATGACTACTCTGATTCTAAAGCAAAAAAATTAAATCGGTGGCTTGATTGCCTCAGACCACGTCAAAATCATAACAAAATACTTCAGTAACTGAATTCTTTTAATCTGAGTGTTATTCAGCAGAATCCACCAACCCACTCTGGTCTGATGTAGAGCAGCAGCTGCCAGGAGCGATGATCTTAACATCAGTCCTAGAGGCAACAAAAACTGAGCGCAAGACCAGCAGGAATCACCCAGACACAGCCAGGTGCCTTTAGGCCTGACAGCGGATGAGAGCAGAGGCGACTAAACCCTGAGCAGAGGCTGTGATGTACCTGTCGTGTTCCTTGTCCACGAGGTGGTAGCGTGCTCTGAATGCCACCAGGTGAGCGTAGTAGGCGGGCGCGGGGATGGAGACGGAGCGGGTGCAGCGCACGTAGGTGTGGCACAGCTGGTACGTCAGCAGCTGCAGCTCGTCTGCTGTGAAACAGTTGTCATCCCACAGCACGTGGTAGTGGGAGGGACGGCTGGTTCCCTGCAGAGATGGCCATGGACACAGTCACTTGGATGGGTTTCCATAAATAAGTCAGGTTTTGATGCCCAGAAAGGGCCAGGCTATCTATTGTGAATGCCTAGGTAACAGCAGCTGAACAAGTTCATTTTTATGTCAGCCCTAAATGTATTTAAAGATTACTAAGTCTAACATATACATGATTTTATTGCTCTGTATGTTCTTGCTTGGATAAAACCCCTCAGTGAGCAACATCTACTCCCAACATGACTAAACCACAATTACAGCTCCTCTTACCTACCTTCAATTAAACTGTTTCTCACAAAACATCCCAGAGAAACACCCAGTGCTTTTAAATCCTTCTGGTTCCTGAGCACCCTAACTGCAAGTATGAACACTAGAAACTCAAGTTAAATCTTCCAGTGCACCTGAATTGGGTGAATAGTTGTGCTTTAGCCAAGCTACAAGTCTCTCCTTTTAAAACAAATATATCTGGAGTATCAATTTAGCTCAGGTTCTTTATGCCTTGTTATATTAAACACAATGAGCTGCAACTACACCCAGCATTTCTGCTTCAAATGATATAAATCTTTTCTGCTTCTCCTTGATATAAATCTTTTTCCACAGGGCCAGAAAGCAGCTTGCTCAGACACAGTGTAAAGGTTGACAAAAATCCCATTGAAATGATTCAAAACTGGAAAAGAAGCCATGCCCAGCCAACCTAAACAAAACTGATGACAATGTGGTCAGACGCACAGGATAAAAATTTAAAGAGTAAATTTTTTTTAACCTTTTAAGCAATAGCCTGATACAAGGCTATAATATTTTTTCAGAAATAATAACGTTACAAAATAAAGTGACCTCTTAAAAACAAAACTTTAAAAAGCACCACTTACCATCAGTGCAAATTTAAATGTGCAAATAATTTGTTAAGCAAATCATCCTCTAAGTCTCACAATAATGTCTTATCTCAGATAAAACCGAGCTAAAAGAACATTTCCCTGCTAAGTAACTGTTTGTAAACAGGTGTCACAAAAAGAAGAAAAACAATTTGTTCTAAATTCACATTTACAAAGCATCCATACCTGTATTCCAGCATGGCTACAGAGGTAAAAATCAAACTCGTAGGGGTGTGTAATGTCTGTATCTACAGTTGTCCCAGCTGGAATATTGCCACTTCGTCCAACCTAGAGAAGAGGTTTGTTAAGTGCAGCCTCAGCTGTTTATACAGCTCAACTGTAATGAAAAATACAAGTTTCTATTCACCACTGGCAAGGTTTCGGCACATCAAGCGCCACAGAACTGTTTGGAATGTGCCACTACATCAGCCTTGGAGGTTTGACAAGGACACTGGATGGCTCTCCAGCAGCTTACACAACACTGCACCTCCAGCACATCAGAACCTTCCAGCTCAGACTGAAGAGCTGCAGACATTTGTATTTAGAATTGTCAGCTTCAGTTTGGATTGATTAACTCAGAAAAAAGGTTCCACCATTTTGTACTTTCTTTTATTACTGCTGGAGATTGGTCCTGAGTAGTCACATGGATTTTAGCTCCAATGTGATGCTGTGGGGGTTTTTGACAGACTTAAGGTCAATGATTTTTCAATTTGGAGCCCCATTTTATCAAATCAACACATCCCTGCATGCACATTTAACCAGATGGACAGAAGCCCACGCTAATATTTTCTCCAGCAGACTAAAAGCTCCTCATGAAGCTTTCCCAAAAGGCTCCTCAGAGGGCAGTGATTACCCTTTCTGTTCTGTCAGCACAGAACAGCCGCGTATGATGTCTCTTCTGCACCACGATGTAGGTTATTCCAGGCTGGTAATCCTTCTCCAAACTGATGCAGGCTTCTCTAATGGCCAGCAGTTCATAATACAAAACCTACAAGCACAAGAACAGAGGGGTTTAAGTTTTCCTTCCACTGTATTCTACACACAACTCTGTGTAGTTAACAAGTACAGCTTTGGCACACAACTGGTAATCTCAGAAAGTACTTAGAGATATGTGATTTCCCAAATTTGAAGACTTCTTCCCAGACAGGAAAACAGCTGCAACTCTTCTTACCCAACAAGATTAAGAAATTCTCTCCTCAATTATTTTGTGTAAACATAAGCAACTCAAACAGTACAAAACAACACCTGCAGCTACTACAGAGTAAGAGAATCTTTCAGGAACCCACAACTGAACCAACCTGTCGGAACTGTCCCTCAGAGACCCCGTCCCTGTAGAAGATGATCCGGGTGGGCTTGAACCGTGTTGATTTGTAGAACTGGATGAGCAGCTCCCTGACCATGGAGGCCAGGTCCTGGATGATCTCCTGCCGGGGCCTCTGGACCCTCACCGTGGCACAGTACCGGCTGGGATGAGCATCCATGCTGCCTACAACCTGTGGGGAGATGCACCAGGGGAGGCTTCAAGCTCAAATCTATGCCAAAACAACTAAAAACAAAAAAGCCAAGAGAGGCAAGCACAAGATGTTTGTGCTAAACAACAGCCACAGTAACACTTTCAACAGGAACTTGTACTTGGTACAGGTTTAACACCTTTTGCCCCCAAGCATCCTGAAATGCACCTGCAGAATTTGGCTTCTCACTTAGGCATATTTTTATAATCCAGAGACATTTTTCTGTGACGTTTTCTCACCTTTAACACTGAGAAAAACCTCAGCTTCCCTTAATTACTTTAAACACAGATGCAGTTTCCTGCAATCAATGACAACTAAGATACCAAGGGGACGAAGTAGGAGAGGACTGACCAAGCCTCCAATCACCACCTTGAGTTCCTGGACTGTACCAACACAAAAGGTAAGAAATGTCAAAAACATTTCTGCCAAATCAGGCCTTTAATGACGCTTTTCTCCTTTAAAGAACCAAAAAATGTTACTAGCTAACTGTTGCAGTAAGGAAGAAAAACCATAAAGAAAGGCCTCATAAAATCAGGCCTGCTCTGGCTGGCCTGTCATTTCTTCTAAGGCAGGCTAGCTATTTATGTGAATACAGAATGGGCTTTTTCCACCATGAAGAAAATGGAGTCCTGTGTGATTTATTCCCATAGCTAATGTCACCAAGCTGTATTATTTCCTTGAGAATATTTCTGCAGAAATATATTATTTAACAATGTCATTTTACCTTGATTTAAAAATTAAAGAGCTAAGGAACCACTCTGAAGTATAAGGCAGTTTTTTTCTTTTAAATACATGATTTTTAATATCATTGGGACTGTGTACAAAGAACTGGCATAAGCCCTGAAAGATATTTGATATGGACATAGCCCATAAGTTGCACTTACTATTCTAACATTTACCCACAATGAAAAAACACCATGTAAATTTAATAAAACTTACAGCAGCAATGGAAGGCTTCTTTCCATCTCCAGCTGGAGGGTGAGTGACATCAGCTCCCAAAAAGATCACTGGCTGCTGGAACACAGAAGGTCTTCAAAAAGAAAAAAGTGCTAAGTCACACTCGTAGCTGAAGAGCTGCCACAAGGTCATCGCTCACCGTGGGGGTTGTTTCTGTCTCAGCCTTATCAGGTACCCGGGCCAAGGCTCAACAATGGGATCTTTGTGCACAAGAGGTGAACTTGGAACCCTCCCCAGCAGAGCCCAAAACACACTGCAAACACACTGCCAGAACTGGGGCATGACTGGTGGGGAGCAGCCCCAGGGCTCCACTGGAGTGGCACAGCCAGGGGCTTCAGAGGCCCCATGTGAGCCTGGGGGTCCCCTGAGCCCCACTGAGCTACAGCACCAGCATACACATTATACTGTTCTGCAGGACTTGAGCAGCAGGATGCTCTTATACTGCCTTTAAAATATTTTTCCTCACACAACTGTTCCGCATTTCAACTTTGATACTGATCAAACATTTGACAAGAACCTTGGCTGAAGACCTACTGCACAGGCCAAGCACCACTCTGAGCCTGTGCTGGAACGAATTTAATTCTACTTCAAATACCACATACTATTATCAAAAGACTGTTTTAATTTAAAACTTGGCCACATTTAAATTTTGGGTGCTAAGTAGCAAACGTAACCATATCTGTTAAAAGAAAACCCAACGCAATCTCCAGAGTCTTACCGTTGATGAGGTACAAGGATGTTGTTGATTCCTCCTAGTTTAACATTAATCTTCAGGCACAGATTTGAGAGGGTCTGTGGAGATGTTTTAATGACGTTCTTGACCTGAACACACTGTGTGGCCATTCCCAACAGCGTGTCTCCCACGCGCTTCACCTCCGCTGGGAAGCAAACACAAGGAGACAGCTTGAGTCCTTTTGAGGTTATTGCTGCATTTTGATCTCAGATAAGACACAATAATTCTAGTGCACATACTGTGCAGTAACTTCTAACTTAGCTGCATACTCAGACCTGCTTCCAATTTATCTTCAGACACAAAACATTGGTGTCTAATACCTAAAGGACGGTTCTGAGTAATTTTTAACATATGCTGGGCAGCAGATTTCTCCAAATAATACCTGACTGAACGGGTAAAGACAGAGGTGTGCCCTTACCATACACAGGTGTCTTCCCTGGCAGGATGACAATGATGAGCTGAAGCCCTGAATAGGTGTTCTTGAGGTGTCGGAACATGGGCTCCACGCTGTCTGCACCCTGGGCGTACTTGCAGAAGCAGGGCTGGCCCTGGATGGGCATCCCGGCGTCCTTGGAGATCTTGCGCAGCTGGTCTGTGAAACCCCTGCAGATGAGGAGATTTTTGGATTTGTGCAGTAGCAACAGAACACAATAAGCAAAGCACAAAGGGACAGAATCGTCAAAGGAAGATGATTCCAAATAGCTTTTAAAGCAGCATTTTAAAAATGTTTGTTATGCGAAGGGTGCACAGCTGTGAAACACCACAGGCCAGAATGGGCTAAAAAATAGTCTAGACAGTACTTTGTTCAGGTGTCAGAAGGGACTATATACAGTGATATAACAAGACAAACACCCCACAGTGTACCCAGTATAGTGTTTTGATTGTAAGCAAACCAGCCCAGATTCCCACCCTAACATCTCACATTAAACCCAGGTAAAATGCTCATTGTAATCCTACATTCGTGTTTCACTCCATTAAGAGAACAGTCCAAAGCCTGAACCACAACATGCCTTACTTCAGAATTTCTTCTCTGCACTGTCTCTGCGTTGCAAAGCAAGCTATGGCCCACATCTTGATCTCCACCCCAGTGTGGAACTGTTTCCCTCTCATGTCCCACACACCGTGGCTTGGTGTTGCCACGGTTCGATTCTGGGGAAACAAAAGCAACAGACACTCAAGTGACTAAAAAAAGAAGCAGCCGATGCTATTTGCAGTTTCAGGAGAACAAAGAAGAGTTTATCATTCAAACTCTGATCCCTGTAGAGTCAAAGTGTACAGGAAATCACTCCTCAAAATGGAAAGCAGAGGAAAAGCCAAAGCCTCACCCGTCCTCCATACTGCAGCATCGGGGCTGGGAGCACACGTCCTGTCACATGGGCCATCTCATCCCTCACTTTGAACTGGAACTCTTGGACAAACGGATCTGCATCATAATTTGCACTTCTCACCTAGGAGAGATTTACATGTTACAGAAATATCTGATTATAATCCATATAATAAACCATAGGCTAACAGGAACACTGCAGATGTGTTCTTAAAACAATTTCATTGAAAAAGGCTCAGATGCGACTGCTCAATATTATCAACCCATCCCCAATGAAAACAATTACTACCGTGAGTTCTAATGGATGAGATGGTTTCTGTTCCCTTCATTACTCAAGTGCTCATTTTCAGTTTGTTCATTCAAAAGTATTTTTTTGAGCATTTCCTCACAGTAAATTAAATGTGGAGATGATAATGCAAGAGCCTGTACTATGGACTCATGTTATCTTTGCATGCCATTTTAAATAAATCCTATTAAAAAAAGTAGTTCAAATCTATTAAGTTAAAGGACAAGGAGGAATGAAAATACTAGGAAGTTTGGCATGAATATAATCCAGCCCAGTGTCACTGAGCAGTGTCCCATGGAGCTGGGACTGGGGCACTCACCAATCTGCTGATCTCCTCCTGCCTGTCTGGGGCAGACCTGGCTGTAGCTTTTATCATGGTTGATGTCTGATTGTCTGTCAGCTTCTTGATGCACCTCTGGCCAGCCACGATGTTACACACCTGCAGGGGAAATCAGAAGCATTAATTCACACCAGAAACACTCAGATCACATCACCCTGTACACACATGACACTGTGCTGCCACTATGAACCCCAATGTGTTTGAACAACTGCCCATTATTTCTTGTATTTCTACACTTCAAAGCACTGTAGGATGCAGACAGTATTTAGTGAAATTAAAGAGTAAACCATGTACTCTGTACATGTAAACCCATTAACACACTTGTATTGCAAAGAGCATAGATTCTTAATGTTTTGTAAACTGACAGAACCCACCCAAGCCCAGCTGATCTATCAGAGTAAGGCTTACTTCTAAAGGCAGGTAGGTGTGTTTTTGTTCCTGTCCCACTTGCAGACAAGGAAGGTGAGGGTATTTCAGCTGGAGGTTGTATTTCTCTCTGAAATACTGTGCTACTGTCCTCTCCACAGTCTGGCCATTTTCTAGCTGTAAAGGAAAGCTGAGAAGACAGACATTTTAGTAAAATATTATCTGTCTAATAGCATCATCCCAAAATGAACGAAATAATCAGGTCCTGTTACTCAGTGTGAAACTACCACACATTTCATGCTCTGACAGAAAGGCTCTTACGTTTGATGACTTGCAGGCCGTCTCGTTACGTTACAGACACGGTACTTCCTCCTCATTGTCCCACAGTGAGTCACTTCTACCTTTAGACCTGCATAAAAGCATCAAAAAAACCTGATGCCATAACTACACAAAGATGTACACAGGAAACACAAGGTTTTAAATGATAGAACATAACAGCTTTGGGGTCAGCATGAAATAGCACAAAGAAATTATTATTCGCCCAACATTTTTACTTTCATTATAATTTGAGTTCTGACTAATCCTGGTGATTATCCTCACAATTCATGACGTAAAATATTTAATGTTCAATGGCTTCTGAATTTCATTTCAAAAGCATTGACTGAACTCGGACAGCAGTTTTCACAATTTCCTTCTGTTCTCATTCTCAATCTTGTACATCTCTCCAAACTATCAGTTCCAATATAATTGAAATTAAAAGGACAAAACCAGGTTTCTACTTTATCATCTTCCCCCCGCTTTGTGTCCACATTCATACTGTAATTTTCTTTAATTTCACTGACCAAGTTCAATTTTGCATGTTGAGAATCTCGTCTCAAAGCACCCAGCCTACACACCAGAGCCTCTCCAGACTTATCTCTGCCCACGATAATCATGACAGTGGCAGCTCCAGGAGGCTCTGGGGGCTGTTGCTGTGACTGTGCACACACTGTGCTGCTCACACAGAGCAGCCTCAACATCTGCTGGGAGCACTGAGCTTATCACACGAGGGCTGCACAGCATCCACACGCTGCTGTCCTTCCCCAGCTCCACAGGACAGAAAGCAGCTAAAAACAAAGCCTGGGTACTCAAAGGTTTCACCTCCAGCAGTAAAGTCTAATTTTAGTGATGTCTAGGACTACAGGCCTTTGAAAGAGCAGCTGGATGGCTCATCCTGTTGAGGTTTGTGTGGATTGTGGACCACTGACTGAACACCACCCAAAATCAGGTCCCCAGATACCAGACACCAGACTGTGTTTAGTTTACAGGGGACACAGACATCACACAAAGAAGCACTGACTGTACCTGCTTTCTCCCTGACAACACTAATTGCATCAAGAACATCAGTATTACTCAGAGGACGGCACAGTAAAAATAAACCACCACTGCCCTGACACGGCATTAAGAGAAAATAGAGAAAAGAAACCATGGGGCACTGTGACCACAGACAAGGGCTGATGAACACAGAGATATCTGGAACCCATTCCCTGCTCTGTCATTACTCTGCTGTGACTCTACCAAGGCAGTGCCCTCCCCCAGTGCTGCTCACACACAGCCAGCTCTAATGCAGGGCTTGTTTTGCTGTACATGGTCACGTCCTGGCTGAAGCTCTCAGACCCTACAGCAGCAAAGATGAGTCTGAGAGCAAAGGGAGAACTTTCAATATTTTCTGACTATGGTAACAGAGCCTCTGAGGCACCTGAGATCAAGCAGAGGCAGTTTCTCAACCTCCAGTTACCTGCCCTACAGAATTAAGGCAGACAGGCAGATGTAAAAGGGGGCATGCTAGGACTAGTACAAAATAATCCCTGTCTTTTTTCAGTCATGGCTCTTCTGTGAGCACATCCCTTTATGATTACAGTTCAAATTTACTTTTTAGCTTCCCAGTATTTCAGTAGAGTCTAATCTTGCATCAAGTAAGAGCTGAGCTCCTCCAAGGCTTTTCTCTCTGCAAATTACACTGGAATGAAGGATATGGGAAAATACAAACCCAAGTAGCATATATGGAGTGAAACCACTCAAACCAGCAGCTTATGCAATTCCTTTGGAATGGAATTTGGCCTTCAGCTGCAAGTGGTACTTATTTTTCCACAAGGCAATCAGTTATTAGAATTCACTATAATACTCTTTCATAGAATCAATGCTAGCCCTGAAATCAATGTTCACTTTGCCACAGCACTGAAACAACAGGAGCCCACACACAATGCCAGGTGGCCTCAGGGACCCTGGGCTAGGAGAGGTTGGCACCAGCCACTTACCTCTGCCCAGGCAATGAACAACGTGCTCCCTCTTTCCCTCTAAGCCACTGGAATGTTTTTCAGCTCCCATTTCTGCAGAGCTGCATTGTTTGTCTCAGGATTAGAGCTACACACATGGATACTACAATTCTCTTGGCAATTCCAGGCCCTTCTGATCCATGTTAAACAGGCTTCCAGTTAAAACAATTCCCTTAGAATTAACTTTACTTTGTTACCTAGGAAAAAACCAACCCATTTCTACTCACCCTTTATCTCTTTGGTGAATTTTACCCGATGAGAATCAGTCAGAGGTCTTGGTTGTTCATCAATATTATGAATGTCAAGGACTTCACACATGAACTGAATTACGGGTTGTGCTTTGTAGAAGGCAGTGGCAGAAACTGCAAAAAGTAAAATATGAAGTGTAAAAAAACCCCAGTCAAGGTATTGTGAAGCAGCTCATACATCAATATTTCTTAGAATTCCACGTAAACCTCAGGCACATTTAGAAACAGAACAGTGAGTTCTGCAAGAGTAAAATAACAAAAAGCCAGCAGCAAGTCTACAGTGACACATCTCTCTCCAGTACAGTCATCCTGCTACTTCCTGGAATTTCAGGGGTTTAAAGGGTTTTTCCCCCAGAGAACATTTATTTCTAGAAAGCTGCAACACCCCAGAGAGACATTCTTTTACCTCTGTATGAAGCTGCAGAGACAGGATTAATATCCCTCTACCACAGACTTTTGAATATTAAAAGCTAACATAATTCAACGTGCAATATAATTTTGTCAGTTACACAATCTGCTCAATTACTGAAACAATATCTGGTGTAGACATGAGCACTATTTTGACTATGCACAAATTGTGTTGGTGTAGGGGGAGTGCAACCCTTGATCGACTCAAATCTCCTCCCCTCCCCACATGCTAATGACACTATCACTTTAAGGGGCAATATACTGGTTTTAAGCAGGACAGTTGACTTATTATAAATCATAAATTGCCCTCTTGACAAAGTTATAAGCAACTGAAATGACACCTTTGGCAGGAAGGGCGAGGTGGGACTAGACAGAGCTCAGACACAAACTGTTCCACACATTTAAAACTTTAAATGTCAACAACAGAAAAGAAACACTCAACAAGCATTTATCAGTTTTCCAGATCTCATGTACCAAACCTGCCACACATCTGTGCTCATACAACCCAACATTCTTCAGACATGTGTCACTTGAGCAGCCTACCAGGCTCACATGAGGCATCAACCAACACCTCCAGATGCCTGAGACTGCTCCAGATTTGAGTGACCCCAAACCCTCACTCTCCCCACCCTGGCAGTGTGTGGGCTGTCTCCCACAGCAACACTTCTATGGAGAACCTCATCCAACTAAACAATTCAAAAACCTCCAGTGATGGGATGTGAAGACAATTTCACAGCCTCAAATGAGGAAACAGAACAACAGCTCTGTGAATCAGCACTTAAAAAGGGCTTCAAATTTCTCATTCACAGGAAGGACTGAAAAACTTTTATTCCAAGAGTTACTACTGCACTTGTTAATGCTGGTAAGAAAAACTTGTGTCACAAAATAACAGCACAGTACATTATCAATTGGTGTAAATTCATCCTCTTCTACCTGAACTGCAGTTCTCTCAGTACCTTACATATAGATACCAGCACTGGTTCTTTTTGGGACAGGTTGAGATTTTTACATTCATTTTTTTAAACCACAGCTGCTGTTAGAAAGGCAATTTTACAAGAACAAACTCTGTAACTTCAGTCACACGAGAATCACCCACAATTTACGTCAACCAGAACACATGGACTTGCAAATTTTTATCAAGACAGCTCAACATCTGCAATATTTTATTATGCTCCAAGCACAACCTGACTTGGAGTGCTCAATGTAGAGCAAGACAATTTACCTTGGGTTTATAAAGCATTTCAAAGACAGTGAGAACTGAATGCAAATCAGAGAAAACCTCAGGCAGCACCTGCATCTCCACCACTGACACTTTTCAATGAGGGTTTAACAACTAAATAGAATTGAGTGCTCACAGGACGAGGGAGTCTGACACAGGCACCAGTTGATCTCAGATCCATTCATCTGGGACTCAATACAGTGCTGCAGAGCTGATCCTTTTGCATAAGAAAGCCTATTCCAATCAGCCCTATTCAGAGAAGTGTTCGGGGTATGTTTTCCAGAGTTTTCTTGGAAGTACTGAGCACCACTCACTGTGTACAGCTGCACAGAGACACAGTGCAGGCAACCTGCCTCTGTCACTGGGGATGCACCAATACTGAAATTAAGCAGGAAAACAAGCCCTGTGCAATTCCTTCTAATGTAGGGATACTGGCTTTTATATGGCAGCTAAATTTCTGCTCAAACATTGACACCACGCAAATGCAGGGAAAACAGACTGAATTTCTAGGTAGCCTTTGCCTTACATGTCTGGTCTGAATCTCAGCCCTGAATCTCCACTTACCATCGATGTTGAGCATCATTTTCCACATGGCAGGTCGGACAGACTGATGGAACCCAAACCAGACCTCCCTGCCCCCTCCCAGGGGGTGGTCATAGCCTTCTGGAGCTGAGAAGAAGGAGCGGCCCACGGGGGTGTACCTGGTGAAACAGGTGGCCACACATTTATGCTCTTGTTTTCCAAACATCAAATTCATGTAACAAAGATTATAACACACTGCATTATTATTTTTTGGCATTTTGTGCACCAGCAACCTGTGCCAAGAAGCAAGTATAAACAAAATACTCTGAATGCTTCTTTTCCTATTGCAGTGCTTTTAAATTTAGACAAAAAACATTTACTACTTTCAGCAATGCACAAACCACTTTCAGTTTTTACAACAAATCAGGAACTAAGTTAACTTACCCTTCCTGATCTTCTGCTTCAAGAAAGTGGAATCTCCACCACAGCAGATTCTGTACAACAGCCTTGTCTATACTGGCCTGACCCTTAAATACCATTTTTTCTAATTCATAGGGAACTTCTGAATACAAGATACATTGAGAGAAGCAAAACTTTGGGTGAAACAAAGAACTAGATGAAATGATGTTTCTCTCACAGGTAGAAAACAGCTGCTCCTGAGCCTCCACACCTCCTGTTTTATAATGCACAGGCATTGGTACAGAGGCTAACATCTTCAGATCTGGGGAAGCTGAGGAACACTGGATTCCACAAAACCACAGGGAACTTTTTTTGGTTGTCAGCTACACGCAGTGAAACCTATCAGAGCTATCAGTGAAACCTATCAGAAATCTGCTCAGAGCAAAGCCATTGTGCTGCCTAAAGCCAAGAAACTTCAAAAGTAACTTTCAGTAACCAAATCAAGCAAAATTAGCCTTCTCTAAATGTCAGGGCTCTGAGATAAAATAACAAATATGAGACTAGGTTAGGACAGATCCTGGTCCCAGCCATGTATTTCAGACATGAGAAGCATGCACTGGTGCCAGTGTACCAATGGATTAAAGAGACTCTGCTTTTCACAGGCACTGTCCTCACTTGGCACAAGCTGAGCAGAACCAGGACAGCAGTGCTGCAGCTCACTGGAACCTCTCAGCATTTCTATGAAGGCCTGTTATAAATGCCTGATGTTTCTTGATCTTTTCCAACACACACATCACCTGCTCTGCCTACAGAAACACTTGTACAGGACTGACTATAAGCTCCCTGTTCAGCTCACCAGCAGTGCTGCAGAGGGCAATGAACAGTTTCTCTTTTCACCTGTGAAGAAATGGGGATGAAGGTCTCCCAGTGGGGATACTTCAGGTAAAGACAGACTGCAGGAAGACAGTGAACCTACTTCATGGAGGGGAGGTGTCGTAGCACCACATCGACAGCATGAACAGGGTTAGTGCTGATAGGTTTGTCTAGTTCCAGAGGCTCAGGCAAGGTTCTTCCTGTCAAAACTTCATGCAGCAAGTGCCAGCTCACCCGAGAAACAAACTTTATTGACACTTTGAAGGGACGATCTTTTCCACCTTCTCCGGGTAGTGTCACATCCAAATCCACCTGGGCAGGAGAGAAAAGAAAGAAATAAAAAGCAGCTTTTTAATCTGGAGTCTGGTAGCCTTGAGATTCCGCTCCTTCCCATAACTGGACCAGAGACTCAAAAACTCAGATATTGAAGACACAGCACGTTTGATGAAAGTACATTATCAAATGCACACAGTGAAGAGAAGTGGGCTCTGACCAAGCACAAGAGGACAGAATAAACTTTTGTCAACCCAAATCATAAAGCAATACATTCTAGAAAAACTCTGGCTTGTTTTTTCAATTCATCATAAGATCATGTGTTACAGTCTGTGAAATGAAATGTTTTAATAGATTTTGCTGTAGAAAGCAGCTACTAAATTATACAGAAAGTTCAAAATGCAACTATTACATGAACATTTACATACACTGGAATTTGCAGGAAATGTATCAGAAGGACTCCATTTCAGTACAGATGCTGTAAGATACATCCAGCTTTTCAGAAATCAGCAATATTTAAAGTTGGGTTTTTTCCTTTCCTATGAAGCTGCTATTAATAGAACATGTTCCCAGTTATCTTACCCCAGTAGTGGCCACAGGAAGTGGATTGGCTGTATAGAGGCTTCTTTTCCCATCATAAACTGGTCTACGGTCCCCAAATATTGTCACTTTAAAATGCTGCACCATAGAGTCCACCACGTCCCTGGAAAAAGGGGATATTTGCATTGAAGATGTTTCTGAAGAAGGATCAGACCCAAGCTGGCTCCCACTCCCAGGTGTTTTGCTGAAGTAGTTGCAATAAACAATACTTGAGTGAATTATAAACACCCACTGCTGTTCCAAAAGGTGCTTCACATACTTTAACTAAATAAACACTACAGAATAAAATCAGAATCAATGCAAATGCTCAAACACTGGAGAATATTGGTAGTGAAATAATCTCAGAAACTCCTAGAAATTACCAAGGCCTTTGTATCATCTTTATGATGGAAAACAAGAACACTGTTACCTTGGAAAAAACCCACAAAGTGGTACTGTGAAAAAACAGCACAAACCCCATCTGGAAGCTCTGCCAGTTCATTGTACTGTCTGCAGCAATGTTTATCTGCTCCTTGATGAGAGTTCTGAATTCTGCCTACACTGGTTATAAACATGAGATGCCCTAACAAAACAGGCTTGGCAGTAAGTCCTTAATAACCTGAGTTTCTACAAAATCATGCACAAGTCTGATCCAATTTGCACACAATTATAGATTTGCCTCCCTCGCTTTATTATAAATTGATGGCAATAAAGATTAACCTGACACAAGCACTGAAATTACACTTGAAAAACCATAATAAAATTTTCAGCTTATACAAAAATGCTTCTTGATGCAAGTAGTAGATAAAACTTTTGGAACACAGTAGACTTTTGGAACACCTCCAAGTGTAACAAGCCTTTGGGATCTGAATTCTTTGGGAGGTCTCGGTGTTTCAGTGGCACAGAATGGAAACACTTTCCTTTCAGCACATGCAAAGCAGCCTTCCTGCACAGCAGCAGCTTCCAGGCACCACGGCCTGGCCAGGCAATATTAACCCAAAGTACTTCAGGAAGATGATAAATATTGACTTCCTCTTCAAGCTGAATGAGCAGCAGCACTTTCACCTCCCAGCTTGGAGGTGGGGAAAAGGAAAGAAAGTCTCCCTTCCACGGCTCCTGATGTTATTCAACATTCCCATTGGTATGATTTACAAGACAAATGTATCTTCTCACCTGTTCACCCTCCGAGGACACTTATCTGGTTTGATATCCACCTCATAGAGGTAGACATCAATCTTTGGGATTTCAACTTGGAAGCAGTTGGCCAGCAGTTTAATGGGCTTGCCCATGGTGCCATAGCCGGGACGTCTGGGCACCATGAGCAGGGGCTGGGCCCCCACGGGTCCTGTGAAGGAAAAATCCCACAGATTAGGAGAAAAGCACAACAAAAAATCCCCTGAACCAACTCCCAGGAGAACCAGGTGGGCACCAGAGCCAGCACACTCAAGGAAAGGAAATCAGCTGTCTCCAACAGCATGAAATTCCAAACAAATGCTTGCCCATTATTAATCCTTAATCCTCCTCCTACATCTAGATTGTTCTCTTACTCATGAACTTCAGTGATCAGCATGAATAAAATCAGGAGGTTTTGTTTCGATTTCCTAAGAAAACCCAACCAAAAATCCAAAACAAAAAGAAAAAAAAACCAAACTCAAAAACCCTTAAACAAAAACAACTCCAAAAATAACACAGAAAGTTTTACAAGTCTTTTCTGAACACCCTGGTAATAACCAAGTGGCTGCAGAGTACAAAAATACAGAAGTAACTCTGGACTAATGCACAGGATTTGAGATAAACTCTTCATTTCAGTGCCAATATCAGCTTAGTCTTGGAAGACAGATTATTCTTGAACTTTGCTGGCTGAAAATGGATGAAGAGTAAGACCATTACCTCCCATGTAACTGCCCCCATAAAGCCAATTTGCCAGAAGAGTAAAGACTAAGATTAAGACAGGATTGTAAAACTCTTGATTACTTGTAGGCTAGAGAAGAATACCCAGAACTGCTCAGAAACATCTAAATCTGCACTGAGATGGGTACTTTGAAAAGTAGCTAAAACACCTACAGATTTGTTCCATTCTCATCTATTTAATTTGCTTTGCATAATTTAGGTGAGAACCCTCCACTCAAGATTTGCATTACTCATGCCTTACAAACCAAACATGGTAGTAAACATAGCCCATTTCCCAGAATTTCTACTGGTATTTCCACTTAAAAGCACTTCTTTCCAGTTAAGAAACAACAACAAACCCAAAATGCTTGGTAGCCTGAGTTTTAAGAAGTTACTGGTGGTACAAATGTCCTGATTTTCAGAGCATTTGAGTGAGGTAGTGCAAAGTTCTCCCCTCTCCTCCTACTCGGTGACGCAGGCAGCAATTCCAGCCCACTCGTTTTCATTGCAGAGTTAAAATGTCAAGTGCTGGGAAAAATGGTTTTTATTTGCCTTTTGATTAATCTCCATAATTTCTGTAAAAACCCCTGTATTATCTTGAAAGAAATAATCACGTCCTGAGAACAGGTGAACATCAAAGCCAAGTTCCTCTGTAACATTTGTCTGGCTCTACCCAGAAAACTACTGAAAAATTCTGAGTGGGGCTGGCTTGGAGCCACAAGATAAAACAAAACAGAAAGCAAGAAGCATCATTTAAAACCCGCTCACAGACTCTGCTTATGCAAAACTTGTTCCAAGCATCTGCTCTCTTCAACTTTTCCTTCATTTTAATACTCTCACGTGAGTAAAAGCAGCCCTAGAATTTACTCCAGCTATATTTGCAGAATATAAGCATAAGCAAAAAAGTTACTACTAAACATTTGAGTGGCATAAACAAGTCAACAGTTTGTTTTAATATTCTAAAGACATACACAGCACAGTTTATATTTAGTTCCTATCTGGAGGAGAGAGTAACAAAACTGATGAAATAAAGATAACATTAAAAAGGTTCTTTTAGTCTGGTCAGCCTTGTGTGTCTCACTCACCCTGGAAGAAGTTAGAACCTAGATTTTAGCAAACAGGAGTTAAGTGACCAATAAATGAATCACAAGTGCAGGTCTACACATTGTTCAGTTGTAATTTTAAAAAATTCAGCTATTTTGCTATTATTGTGTGAATCATATGCTCCCTTGGACAAATGAACTTAAAAACATGAGTATGCCAGTACTGCCCAAATATAAGGGCACCCACCCACTGAGAAGACCCTGCTTTGAAGAGACACTGACTTGCCAGATTCTGTTGTCAAAGTCTTGTGTCAGTGGCCCCAAAGCTGTGACTCAAAGCCCAATAAAACACAAATAACCAGCAAAGCTCCGGGGATGGTTCTGCCGCTGATCTATCGGTGACTCACCCAACCTCATGCCTAAGTCCTGTGTCAAGCCCATGGAAATAAACACACAAACCAAAAATATTCAAAGTACTATTATTCTACTGAGTACAGGATGCCCGAGTGGCAGATCCTTTCCTTCAAGTCCTTTAACCATTGCAAAAACAAAGTGGGTCAAGGCTGAAAAACCTTTCTCAAAGCAGCAGCACTGTGACGCCTCCTCCACAGGGGATGGAGCAGCTCCTCAGTGCTTCCAGAGAGTTCTGTATTGCTCACCTGCCCACAAATTTGAGAGGAGAAACTTCTTTGTGTTAAGGAAACCAATATTCTGCCATTGCAGCACCAGGTACATACATACCACAGAATCATGGAATGGTTTGGGATGGAGTCACCTTAAAGATCACCTCATTCTCACCCCCTGCCATGGCAGGGACCTTCCACTGTCCCAGATTGCTCCAAGCCCTGTCCAACCTGGCCTTGGACACTTCCAAGGATGGGGCAGTCACAGCTTCTCTGGGCAGCCTGTGCCAGGGCCTCTCCATCCTCACAGGGAAAAAAATTTTCCCAATATCCCATCTAAGCCTGCCCTCTGGCAGTGGGAAGCCATCCCCCCCATCACTCCAGGCCTTGTAAATTGTCTCCCTTCTCAATTTTTCTTGTAGTCTCCCTTCAGATATATGCCTAGGACGTTCTTAAAAATCCAAGTAAAACCCCCAAACTAACTCTGTTCAGTGTGCTGGAGCAGAGCTCAATTCATAAAATCAGCTCAGCAAAGCTCCCAGCACTAAAACTCAACTGATTTATAACAGAAAACAATGAACACACAAACAGGAACTATAACTGGTGTCTCAGACAGATTCTTGGAAGGCTTTTGTGCTGCAAGGGAGCACGTCTCAGATCATGGAATGGTTTGACTTGGAAGGGATCATAAAGCCCCCCCAGCTGCACTCTGGAAGTCCCTCTAACGGCTCCAACGAGCTCGGAGTGAGAATCTTTTCTTCCATGGAAGTATCAATGTTCCAATCAAGCTTGAACACAGCCAGAAGGGACGGCGATTCCTCGGCAGCCCAGCCAGCACACGGACAAGCCTGGCCTGCATCCAAACCCTGGCTGCACCTACCTAGCAACCAGAGAAGCCCTGTCGGAATAAAGCCTGAGCACAACGAGCAGGAGCTCAGAAACCTGCAAATGCTTCCAACACACCATTGTACGAAAAACTGCAGCTCCTGGCACAAGCAGGGTTTTTACAGAATGAAGAAAACCCCTGATCTCCAGCAGGATGCTAATAGGAAATGCAGATTTCCTTACAGAAAGGGCCATCCCCACCAAGCTTCCAGAAAAAAATTATCCTCTTTCACATTGTGGCTTCAGCATTATAAAGCCAAACTCTAATAACAGAGATAACCTAGTAGCTTTATTTTTGTTTATACAATAGTTCTAAATTCAACTGGATGGGTGGTGGAACTGCCTAAAACACAACAGCAAGGCCTGAGCAGGTAAATACAACTTACTCTGGCTCAGGAAGATGAGGCAGAATTGTGGAACCGATTCCAGCCTCAGGCTGGAGCTGCACTGGAGAGAGCTAGAGCTCTCACAAGGAGGGGGAAAAATAAAAGACTCCCTTTCACAGGGCCCCTGGCCTCCACTCAGAGGCCCAGCCTGTGGAGCTCTAAGAAGATTTTATCACTAACAAAAAATAACCTAATTCTGGATTAAAAAAATACATAGAGAAGATTTGATTCCACGTTGGTTTCAATGATCGAGCGCCGTCTGCCAGAAATCGTGAATTGCCTCATTTCTGTCACTCGGCCCTGCTGGGTGGCATTACATTATTTATGAGTAATGCAATCCATGTTTTCTAAACATTCCTCCTTGCAATTTAGGGTTTGGTTTTTTTCAAGGTTTCGGATACTAAGTCATGTTCAAACTCATCTAAAGCCAACATTTTGATGCTGTGCTCTGTGACTGCCAACTGCACAAGCAAATACTGGTGTGGTAACTCATTCTGCCCTAATGGACTTACAGAAAATACACTGGAGTGTTTTGGGGAGAATTTAAAAGACAATCAATGCTTCTGAACCATTAAAAAAATCTAAATACAAAAGCTTTAAGCCCAAAAACGCTGCTTATATGCACATAGTGGAGTTAATACCCAATTGCTCTGGGAGAAGAGAATGTGCCAGCCCACACAAACCCTGCACAAGTTTTCCCTGGAAGGTATTTCCACAGACCAAAATCTGGAAGGTAAAAATTAGCTCAAGAAACACTCTTCGACATCTTCACCCCTAAGGAAGCAAAGCTCTGAGGATGAAACAATTTTCAATGTTCATACTGTGAGTCAAACAACTTCCACAGCAACTCCAGAGGAAATCTGCCACTGTATCTTACAGTAGAATAACTTTTGAAGGCAACTATGAATCACCCCCTTCCCTGCTGTACCACACCCACAAAAACGGGACTTTTAATGGGCCTCCCAAAGCACTACTCTGAATCAGAGAAAAGCCACTTCTTGGGATTTTCTCTGCCCAAGCTTTGTATGGAAAATAAACAGAACATTAAGGATGCCTGCAGTGCCTCATTAAAAACTGAAATTAAAAAATCCAATCCAAAACAAATTAACACTTTCAACACAAAAAGACGTGAGCTTTGAAAGAACAATGTAGGACATGGAAATGAAGACAATGGCACTGACACAACTTGGTTACAGCACAGAACATCCCCTGTTGGTTGAACCTCCCTGCCTTTTGGAATTTTACTGAACATTCTCCTGGTGGAAGTGCAATGCCTGGCCTGTGGTGAGAGCAGCTTTTCCTTCACTTCACTTTCCCCACCAAACATTTTACTGCTGTTCCTCAGTTTGGCTCCACCATAACCCACACCCGGAGCAGCCACCTTCACATGCAGCTCCTCCTTTCAGTGATGTTCAAATTCCATGGACCAGGAGAGCCACAATACTCCCCAGATTCCTTAGCCTAAGCCTCTCACACAAACAGGACATCACCCACAGCATTGCTTCATCCAAGATGTCCTGGCACACACTTCCACACTTTACTCCAGGGATACTCACACCCCAATCTTTGTTCCCCTCTCTGCTCATTTTATCCCATGTTTTCCCTTCATGCACAGAAAACAAAGCACAGCTCAGTGTCTTTCCCTCTTTCATGACAGAGCTTTAATCCTCATTTGCTCCACCAAGGATGGTTTGTGTCCTCCTGCTCCAACACTGCACTTAACACTTCCCCAGACACAGGAAGAACCATCCCTTGTTCTGGACATGCCTGAGCCCACAAGGAACACTCTGCAGCAGCTTTGCCAAAATCCAACACATTGCAGCCTAACAACAGGAAAATTCACCCCAAAGGAAAACTAAACCATTTACGGGTTCCTCTTGCAAATCTGTTCATCAGGAGACAACTACAATTGCACCAGGTTATAATGAGAGTTTATTTAACACTGTGTAAGAGAGCATTATATGAATTCCACCAGATTGTTAAAATCCTGCACCTTAAAACATTCCCAACCCATCACAACCCCAAGCCAGGCAACAGCTGAGGTAGGGAGTTTTTCCAGCCAAATGCATCACTGTCCTTAAATCTCCAAGTATGTTAGAAAAGGATCTCCATATGGAGATGGGAAGGCACGTTTTGTGTTGACACCTTCAGTCTCACTCTTGTATTTTCACCACCTGTGGTACCTATTCAAGTGACAGACATGGAACTCCAGGTGGCTTTGGACATTCCCTTTGCCATCGAGGTACAGCCAGGGAATTGCTGATTAAACACTGCCCAACCCTCAACCCTCCTCCACTCTTCTGCCAGATTTGGAATAAGTTATCTTGAAAAACTGAATCAGAACTTCTTTCTCCAACCCTCAAAATCCATTTGAACCACAAAGTTGATAAATACTGAGCATGTGCTTTCCCGGCAAAAGGATCAAACGGCCAAAATCTGTAGATTTTCATAGAATCACAGAATTATTTGGGTTGGAAAACACCTTTAAACCCATCCCACCCATACCATGGGCAGGGACACCTTTCACTATCCCAGGCTGCTCCAAGCTCCATCCAACCTTGTCCTGGACACTGCCCAGGGATGGGGCAGCCACAGCCTCTCCGGGCAATAACTCCTCATGATGATTATTGTGAAGCAGCACACCCAAAGGCACAGGAATTAACCCCAAAACTCAGGTCCTGACACACAGGGGCCAATTACCGGGTGTGAGCCCGGCAGGAGCTGCTCGAGGGAGCGCTGCCCGGTCCCGCCGGGCTCTGCGGCTCCGTCCCTCGGGCACCGGCACGGCGCGGGTTACGCAAGCCGGGCACCCCGGTTATGAAATACCGACAATTCCTCCTCCACCTCCGGCACGGCAAGCAGGGCACGGAGCGCTTCGGCCCCGGCTCTGCCCGGTACCGGGGCCCTGCCCGCGGGGCTTGGCTCCTCCCGCCCGATCCCGCTCGGGATGGGCTCGGCCCGGCCGCTGCCCCGCGGCACCGGGGCGGGCACTGGGACTTGTGGGGGATGGCGCGGGGGGCCCGTTCCCCGAGCCCGCCAGGCCCCGCCGGGCCCGCGCTCACCTGCGCTGCCGATTTCCATTCATGGAGCTGGGGCGCAGCCGCTCGGGGCTGCGGCGGCCGGCGCGGGGCTGCGCTAGGCGGCGGTTCCTCCGCCGCGCTCCCGGTCGGGCCGCTCCCGGCGCTGCTGCCGGTGCCTCTCCCGGCGCTCCCGGTGCCGCTGGCGGCGCTCCCGGCCCCTCACGCGGCGGCGGAGGCGGAAGTGGCGTGGCCGCCCCGCAGCCCCGGCTCGCGCGGCCGCTCCCGCCCCGCCGCGCGCGCGCCCCGCACGCCGGAAATCCCGCCCGCGCTTCCCCTGCCCCCGCGCGCGCCCCGGCCTTTCCGGGGGAAGGGGAAGCGGCGCCGGAAGCGGGCGGGGCGCGAGCCGGCGCGGTTGCCACGGCAACAGCGGGGCTGGCGGGGAGGAGGCGGGAAAGGCGGCGGGAGCCTGAGGGGCCCTCAGGGCCAGGGAAGCGCGGGGCGAGCCCCGCAGGCAGCGCCGCTGCCCCGGAGCGGTACTGGCGTGCCGGGACACCGCTAAAACGCACATGAGCCCAGCGGGAGCACCGGGGGTTGTTCCCGGCTCCGCGGCGTTGTGGTGTTTGAGTACAACGCGTTATGTCTGCGACGTTTTCTCCCTGCCGCAGCAGCTGCCTGTGCGGCGGCTTTGAGGGCTTGCAGCCCGCTCCCCAAGGAACTCAGCTGATGTCTCCTTGATCCTCACTAAAGCCGCCAAAGGAGCCCCGCGCCCTGGCCCCGGGGATGTTCCCGGGAACGGGACACGGACACGGCGGGTGGGAGCGGCCGGCAAGGCCCGCACGCTGTGCCCGCTCCGGGTGGCGGGACCCGCGACACGCGGAACGAGTCCGGCTGCGGGAGCCAGAGGGTGCTCGGGCCCTGAACGGCTCCCCGGGGGATGGGCACGGCCCCGACCCTCCCAGAGCTCCAGGACAGAGCTCTCGGCACTGGGTGGGATTGTTGGGCCAGGCATTGGGCTGGATGATCCCTGTGGATCCCTTCCAATTTAAGGATATTCCATGATTCATAATTTGATGATTCACTGTATCAACATAAATTCAGAGCTTATGCTTGCCCTGTCCTCATTTTTTTGAGACTTTTTAGCAATGTTTAGTACCGCTGTGTTAGGGATATTTTACACAAACTGGCACCAAACAAGCAGAGGGGTGACAGGGGCAAATGGCATGAGGGGAAGAGATTCGAATGTGACAGATGCAACAGGCTCAGTGCTGGGTCAGGCAGTGACACCATTATTTCCTCTGCCCTCAGAAGATCTTTTTCTCTTTTTTTTTGTAAAAACAGTATATTGGGACTTTTCCAAGTGGGTTTGAACCTGCTACTCATTGTCTAGAAACGATGTCACTTTTTCTGGTAGTGAGAGGGGCCCTTCCCCTGGGAAACAACTGGGAAGGTACCAAAGAACTGGAATTTTAGGCCAATGGAAGTTAAAGATCCATAATCCAAATGTCAGGGTCATTATTAAGAATTACCATCCTGAAGATTCCCAGCTGAATTAGTCTTTAAAAGCATAAATTTAGTTTTCAGGTAAGTGACACAGTAAGGATTTTAAACCCATGCAAATTAAAGGTAACCTACTAGAATATTTCCTTAACTGAAATGGGGAGTGGGAAATGTGATCTCCAGGATGAAGCAGATACGTGGGAGAGAGGCATCTCTGCAAACACACATCCTCAGGGGCAGCACATATGGTCCCACAGCTCGGGCACTGTAATCAGCACCAGGGCCGGGGCTCAAATGCTAATCTAACACTTGAAACCAGTTTTCTGACCTGTTTTCCAGGACTCCAAACCCAGCTGCGTAAGGCACGATTTGCTGTTGTACCTCACATAGGAAAAGCCCCTTTAAAACTGCTAAAGATTATTTTTAAAATAGGAGATAGAACCCACAAAGCAGTTGGATGTGTGCAGGACCTGCACAGGTGCCCAGCTCGGGACAGAACTTTCTGGTGCTGCAGTTAGGTAAATTAACTGACAAGTGCCTGCATGCCATTAGCAAGCACTTCCTTAAAATTCCTTGGCATTATTCAAAAACCTAGTTAGAGCTCAACTGCTAAATCATTCATTGGCTTGAGGTCTGCCCCTGCATCTTTGTAAGGTAAAACAAAGAACTCCAACAAGAACTCAGAGGATGGTAAACAACCTTCAGTTCTGGACCCTAAAACTCAACCATAGGCTGCTGGCAGTGGAGACTAGGATGTCTGCAAGGTTTGCAAAGCTGGGAAATGTAAAACATGATGGGAAATGCAAAAGATGAGGCAGTGCAGAAACCCAGAGGATCAAGTTTAACCTCAATCCAAAAGGAGTCTGAAATCTGTCCTAAAAGCACCTCAGAGCCAAGAGCCCCTGAAGCATTCAGTGAGGCTGCAGGAACAGCAGATTTGGATGAACATTTCTGTTTTCTAATAACCCAGGAGCCCAAAATCAGTCAGTTCTCAGGTGACATTTTAATAAAAGTGGAATTGTACTGTATTCCCAGAAGATTTAAGCACGAATTTGTTTGCTTAAGTGTTTCTCTCATTGAACTGAGACCTGGACAGTGAGGGGTGCTGGATCCTCTGCAGTGTCTGATGCAATTCAGCTCCAGTCAGCGTTTCCCTGTTTGTCCCCCAGCCTTTCCCGAGGGAATGCCTGGGATGCGCATGTCCCTTCCCCACCAATGTGACTCAGGAGTGTCACCCCGACATATTCACATTGCTTTTATTTAGGTCTTCTGCCAACAGTTACAGGGTAACAGACACTTGGGACTGCAAAGTCGAAGTTGCAAGCAAAAATCAGGACCAAGGCAAAAAAAAAAAAAATCCACAAAGGCAATTAAATCAAATCCAATATAAATACAATGTTCTGGAGCTCTTTAATCATACTGCTTTCTTTAATAAAGACGTGGTTAGGATCTTACAGTATTTTCTTTTGGCCTAATCCAAGGATTTTGTTACTCTTCACCAGTCTTAATTCCACACATACAAAAAAAAAAACAACTGATATTCAACCTTTAAAATATAAGCCATATTTTCTTAATAAAATAAGTTTTGTGCTGCTGCTTGTTTAGTAAGTACTGTACATCAAGTGTTCACGGCTATTTAACAAATGGACCATACAGAGTTCAAGCTAGAGCAAAAAAAACCCACAAGAAAAATAACAACCCAAACAGAGCGTCCTGTAAACACCCTATGTACAGTCCCACACTTGCTCATAGAAAGGAGGTACGAAAGGGGCTGGAAATCAAACACAAAAGCACTGGAGTCCTGGAAATTTTCTTTCACAACTATTGAAGTGCAAATCACTCAGGCAAGATATGAATTTCACTTGTTTATTGCTCTCCTGCTGTCTGGCTTCCCTTCCTGAAACAATCACATTCTTTTATTTCACGCTGATTTTCCAAGAAGAAAACCTTCCGCGAGGCAACGCTGGATGCTTGGGCTGTTTGAGACATCGTGTGTGCGATCCCAGAACACCCCGACTTCCCTGGAAGCTGCGGGAAGAGGGCAGAGCAGCCCTCCCACCTCGTTCTGCTCAGATATGAGATAAGGGAAACAATAGCATTCTACAGGTAAATGAAAGCTACTCCTCTTCCCACAGAGCTGCATGCACTCGGCAACGCTTCCAGAGACTCGGAGCTGATCGGGATGCCCGTGTGGGGGTTGTGGCTAACTACAGATCCTGATATGTACCTGGGGTAACACCTATCCGCTACAGGCAGCAAAACGCACCTCAACATGCAGCTACTCGTTTGCATCTCAGACAAGAGAGGGGGAGAAATGCCGATGCCAGAGCGCGGAGAGGGCACGGTGCATAGTCCGGTATAGAAAACATGCGGGTCACTCCAACCTCTCTAAACTTCTTCAAAGTGGAAACAGGGTTTAAAGGGCACAGCAGCTACTGAGTTTGGCTTTTTTGTTTATCCAAAACCATGAAAACCCAACGCAGAGGGTGAAATAAGGGCAGAACACGATCTGCAAGTCAACAGCTGAGAGTTTCAGAAGCTGTGAAGCTTTTGTGTAGTTAAAATTGCTGTTAAAAGTAGGTGCTACATCAGCAAGTCTTCATTCATAGTTTTCTATGAACAGCCACCTTACAAATGAGTGCAAATCTTAAAGGTCCATTTTACATTTCAAGTCTCAAGGTTAAAAAAAATTGTTACAGAGCAACAAGCTGTTTCTGTAAATGCCCACACTATCTCTTTTCAAATGGTTAAAAATGGCACGTGCTATGCCACAGCTACTAAAAGACATTTCAGAATTCTAGACCCAACTAAAACACTAAAATTAAAACGAGGAACCAAAATACCTTTGCCCCTCACTGCAGAGCAGCAGCCAGGCGCGTTCCGGTGTAATGCTGGTGAACAAACTGATTTGCAGAGAGAACCTTGACCTTGACCCCGATTTTATTCTTAATGAGGAGCTTTCTAACACCAGGTGAGCGGGAGCAGCCCCTCTGAGATTGTTTTGCTTTCAATGAACATAAGTCAGAGTTCGGAGGATGAGATGGAGGTGCTGATTGGTGTCACTATGCAGGCACTTGTGTAGAGGAATGTAGGCTTCTCATGTTGACACTTAGTGTTGATGTGTTCCCTACGCTCTAAAAGCCTTCCTAAGAGTTCCCTATCTACTGACCACGGATAGGTCCTGGTCTCCTCCCCGTCACCTTGAGGATATACAGCAGTGGAGGTTGACACAAGGTGCAAAGGAGGATATGAACCAAACAGTGTGGTCTTGAGGAAAACAGGACTGTGCTAAACGTAGGATCTTCACCAAACGTGACATCAGTGGGCTCAGCACTTAGTTTGCATAGCATAGTGATGTTGTCACTGTTCACAAACACGTTGCCCCAAAAGAAAATGGGAAGAGTGAATTCCCGGGGTTAGGAGAGCTCAATGGGCCAACATGACCGGTGTGGGTTTCATGAAGGCAAGGCAAGTTTCAACGTCAGAAAGTACAAACCAAAGAGGTGGAGATGTGCTTCTGTCCGCGCGCGGGCCAGGGGCAGCGCTCGCGTGGGGCCGCCTGGGAAACGCGTTCGGCA